CCCCCCTTTAATTTCAGAGCCCCTTTCCCCTCCCCCATATATGAAGAAGGGACCCGACCCAAAACGTCAGCTTTCCTGCTCCTCTGATGCTGCCTGGCCTGTTGTGTTCATCCAGCTCCACACTGTGTTTTGACAAGAAAGTAGAGTTGAGTTCACAATTAGGCATGACCTTATCAAATGCCACGGCAGGTTGATGAACTGACAAACAATAAAGAAACTGCCATGCACTCCTTTGTTACTTGGCCAGTAGAAATGATTGGTTTCACAATTCCCTAATTGTCAAGGAGATAACCCAAACATTTAAGTATCTGGATTTCAAGGAACAAACAGAAATACAACTGCTTTCCAAGGTTTGTTTTCTTTAATTCGCTGAAGTTCCTTGAATCCTGCCTCTTTGACCAAGCTTTTGGCACTAAGTAAATGTCTCAAGTCACTTCACTGTTGAAGCTACAAGCTGTTGTAATGGAATTACCTTACTTGTTGAGAATTTGATTGTTAGTTTAGTCTAAGCATTGAGAAGTCATGGGCAGCTCAAGTAATTTCCAGTGCATGATGGCATGGAAAACAAACAAACAATCATTACAATTGTTACAACTCGTTATCCTATCAGATCACATTGATTGGAAGTTTCAATATGTGGATCTCATTTGGAAACTACCACTTTGCTGTGAACACCAATGAAAGTAATTAAAAGACACTACCCAAAAGTATTAGTATCCTCTTTACACTATCAGATTGAACACTAAAAAGCAAGGTCAGCAAAAAGCTAGTTTATTTCTGTATTTAGATTTAATAGACCAGTATTGGGAACATAGTGGTAATGTTATTAGGGATGTTAGTAACCCAGAACCCAAGGCAAAAGTTCCAGGGACACAAAGCCCACTATGGCAGATGGTGGGATTTGATTTCAATAAAAGTCTAGAATAAAAAGCTAGCCTAATTGTGATTGTGTAACCACTGTCTACTGTCATAAAACCTCATCTGGTTCACTAATATTCTTTCAGGAGAGAAACGTGCTCTCTTTACCCTGGATTTAGATAAAGGAGAGGCCTTGCATTTTGATGAGATGAACAAAGGCAACCAAATTTCTATTATGCATATTGGCATTTCACAAAATTATTGATAGATCAATTTAAATTAAGAGAAGAACTTACATTCTTGCAGACACTCATTGTCTGTGCAATAGGATTGCGACTGTCGCAGCTGAAATTCAAGAGAAAACAACAAAAGATAAAGGATTGTAGCCTTGTAAACCACAAATTTAAGAAATTTAATGATTTGACTATTTACTGTCTTTTCCAATACAGAGAGGTTTGTTTCTAGTTTTTCTTCAAAAACAAATCATTGGCATGCGTCTTATAATTGGCACAAGGATTCTTAATGTTTTCCAGCCCAGTCAGGGTCTTATGAAATAGTATTCAAGGGAGGGGGAAGGGAGAAAACAAACACTGCACACGTTAGTCAAGGCGCACCATCACCCCCATTCCCCAAAAACAGCTTGTACAAAAATAGACTAGAAAAATCCCAGATAGCAAAGTTAAGAAACTGACAAATTAATTGAGAGAAAACCTGCCCCTTCTCCACCTAATAGAAATGAATACCAGAAGCCATCTCTCTAAGATCTCTACCTGCAAAAGAACTTTGAACTTTTATAAATGGCAGGTAAAATTAGGTGCTCAATTCAGTTTCTTGGATTTCTTTGTAACTCTTTATGCACGTAGAAAGTGATATATAATACAAATGCAAATCAAAAAGCATGGAGATTAACACAGTTGCTCTCATCTGTACTGAAAGGATAGAAAGGTAGATTGGCATTGCTTGGATTTAACATTGTGCCAACCTAACTCAGATTCTGTTAACTATCAGTACAGAAATCAATGCTTCTGCTAAATTTATTTACCCAGGTTCACAGAGAAAAAGGATTGCTCTTAGTTGTGGTTAGCCAGGCCCGCCGTTCCAATGCTAAGACTAGCAATAATGCCCAAGAATGAGGTAGAATGAATCAGGTGGTCTCACTTCTGGTCATTACTCAATTATATCTTGAAAGGGAAATGAATGAGAAGGCTTGGTCTAGTGCTAAGATGCTCTCCATGTTTATGGACTCCATTGATAATGCTCAATTTCATAAAAAAAGGGCCAGGTATCAAAGGACAGCTCATAGGAATCATACTCGAGCAAGATTCTGGACCTTTTGAGGAGGAGGAGGACGATTCTAAAAGGAGAGAGGTTAGCTTAAGCCACATTGCTATGGCCAGCTAGCATTGTGCTGGTGGGCACAATAAAACTTCTTAAAGGAATATAATTGCTACTTTTTCAAAATTCAGTTATGGGATGTGAGTGTCATTGTCTGGGCCAGTGTTTATTACTCATTTGAGTTCAGCAAGTTGGTGGTGAGCTGTCTTCTTGAACGACTAGTCTATTTGGTGTAACCACACCCACATGCTGTTCGAGAGAGTGTTTCAGGATTCTAACCGTGACACTGAAGGAAAAAAGTGATAAATTTCCAAGTCAGTATGGCGAGTGGTGGAGGCATATTTGCAGGTGGTGCATTCCCATGTATCTGTTGCTCATATCCTACTGGACTGTAGTGGTAATGGGAAGGAAAGATGTTGCCTAGGAGTCCTGGTGAATTTCTGCATAGTATCATGTAGATGGTACACTGCTATTACTATGTGATGATGGAGGGATTGAATTTGGTGCTAGTCAAGCAGGCTACTATGTCCTGGATGGTGTTAAGCTTAAGCGTTGTTGGAACTGCATTAACCTCGGCAAGTAGGAATTTTCCATTACATTCCTGACTTGCACAAATGTTTCTTGCCACTTATCATCAGCCCATTTATGGATGTTTCCAAATGCAGCAAGTCATGGACAATGACCTGCTTCAGTATCTGAGTCATAGCAAATGGTGCTGAAGATTGTCCTGTCATTATCTTCCCTAAATCATCAGGCGTTTGCCCATGGACAAAGCAGCTGAAAAGCTCTCGGAGGAACTCCTGCAGTGATGTCCTGGAGCTGAGATGGCTGACCTCCAACAACCACAATGATTTTCCTTTGTCCGAAGAGCAGAAAATATTTCCTGATTCTCATTAACTTCAGCTTTGCTAGGGCTCCTTGATGTCACACTTGGTCAAATGTGGCCTTGACATGAACAGCACCTACTGTCAGCTCTGCTCCATTCAGATCTTTGGTCCACTCCTGAACCACAGCTAGATTGAAGTCACGTCCCGAGTGATCCCAGCAGAACCCAAACTGAGCAGTGACCAGGCTATTACCAAGTAAGTGTTGTTTGATGGTATTGTTGATGACTCTTTCCATAATTTTATGATGAGGTGATTATTGGCCAGGTTAAATGTCTTCCTTTGTTATCCAGGACATCTGTGCAATTTTTTACATTGTCAGATAGATGCTGACATTCCAGTACAACGACAACAACTTGATTAGGAGTGTGACAATTTCTGCAGCACAAGTCTTCAGTATTATTGCCAGAATGTTTTCAGGGTCTGTAGTTTACAGTATCTAGTGCCTTCAGATGTTTCTCAATACCACTTGGAGGGAATCAATTTGGATGAAGATTGGCACTTAACATATCAGGGACAATTGGAGGATGTCCAAAAAGACCGTGCACTTGACACTTCTGCCTCAAGAGTGATGCAATTGCTTCAGCCTCATCTTTTGCAGTGACATGCTTGTCTCCACCATTCTTGAGGATGGGGATATTTGTGGATAGTTTCTCCTCCAATAAGTTGTTTAATTGTCCATCATTCGTGAATGGAAACAGTAAGATTGCAAAACTAATTTCTGAAGCATTAGTTGTGAAATCACTTCGTCCAGTTCATTTATTTGCTGTTTATTCTGTTTCACATGCAAGTAGGCTACAGTTGTAGCTTCACGGCCTGTCACCTCGCACGCCTTCCTGCATTTTTCATTGAATCAACGTTGATCCCCATCTTGACCATAATGGTACAATAGGAGATATTTTATGCTATGAGGTTGCAGATTGTGCTGGAGTACAATTCTGCTGCTGCTCATAGCCCACAATGTCTCATGGGTGCCCAGCCTTGAGTTGCTGGATCTGTTCTAAATGGTTCCGTTTAGCAGAGGTACTGCCTCTGCTAACACAAGATGGAAGGTATATTTCCCTTAAGGGAAATCACCTGCAAAGATGGATCAATTTCAACAGTTTTCCCCTGACATAGTTGTGTGTTTCTGGTACCGCCCTAATCCCTGAACAGTCTAAATGATGTCAAACTGCTTGATTAGCATCCAATCTTGTATGGGTTGCAACTGTACATTGGGATGATCACCATTGTCACATGACAAACTCTGTTTCCTTGCTAACAATTCTTCCCCCAAACGCAACAAAACTAGTCACAACTCGTCACCTTTCAGCTTCCACATCCTCAATTGCAAAGACCATCAATTCCACCTCCACAACATGAACCTTCCATGCCCATTCAGTTTTCACATGTGGCTTTGTCATTTCCAGATTTGAACACTCCAGTACTTCTGATGCTTTCACCGCCTCTCCCATCTTTTATAGTCTCCAACATGTGCAAATCTGATTTACACATCCTGTTCTGTAGGCAGTCCAGATTGAACGCTATGCTTTCCCCATGTCCAAACATTAAAATTTAAAGAAAGACCGACCAAGCACAGGTGTGGCCCAGTGACATACAGTTGGCTAGCAATTACCTATGGAGTCTGCAATATTAATTCTGGACCTTATGAAGTCTCATGGTATTAGGTTAAGCATGAACAAGACTTCCCTGCTATCACATACAACATTCCCACCAACACTACCCATACCCCTTTCCCTTGACTCAATCAGTACTCACCTAAAAGTTACTTGCAAGAAGCCACAAGAATGGCATGGGCACAGATTGAACTCAGAAGGGGATTTCAATAGTCCAACCTGGCAGTGTCCTGAAGGAAGTCAGCAAGAGAACCAACAAGAGAGGACAAAACCTACATGACCTTGTCCTTACCAACCTCCTGGACATAGAGGCATCTGTCCCTAATAGCACTGGTAGGAGTGACCATTGTACAGCTCACTTAAGAGGGTGCTTTGCTTAAAAGATACTGACTTGTTGTAATTCTTTACCACAGAAAACTTTTGACACTGGGTCGTTAAGTATATTCAAGGCTGAGATAGACTTTTCTAATCATTAACAAAATCAAGAGTAATGGGAAAAGGCAGGAAAGAGGATGATGATCAGATCTAAAAATTAGGGCCAGACCATTGGACAGACATGTTGGAAGCACTTCCACACACAAAGGTTCGTAAAGGTTTGGAACTTTCTTCTACAAATGACAGTGGTTGCTAGATCAGTTATTCATTTTAAATCTGAAATTGATAAACTTTTGTTAAGCAAAGCTATTAAAGGATATGGGCCAAAATGCAGGTATATGGAGGTAGGCCACAAATCACCAAATGATCTCTCTGAATAGTGGAACAGGCTTGAGGGGCTGAATGGCCTACTCCTGTTCCTATATAGATCAGGCATGATCTCCTTGAATTGCAGATTGGATTCAGTAGAAGTAGGCCATTTGGTCTAAGTCTTATGGCCTTGTACAATGCAACTATTCATCAAGGTTTCTTCAGTAACACCTTTTAAATCCACAACCTTTACTTCTAGGAAGACAAGCACATTGGAACACCACCTGCAAGTTTCCTCTAAGATACACAATTGACTTGGGACAATTTTTGTTCTTTCACTGTTGCTGAATCCAATCTTGGAACTATATTAGATAAATTGCAACAATTCAATGAGACAGCTCACCACCTCAGAGGGCAATTAGGAATGGATAAATGGCACCTTGCCACTGACACCCACAATCCATGCAAGAATAAATCAAATTTAACACTGTATAGAGTGAAAAACAAATCAGTTTCTTTTAATGCATGATATGCCACTCCTTTAATTTCAAACAACACCCGAGGGGTTTTACACAATTTGCAGTCCCCTGCCGCATTGAAGCTCTAGACTATGGCCGAACCCAAGTCAGCATTTATCCTGTCGGTAGTAATCCTAAATTTGCAGGATGAGCCAAAATAAGAAAACAAACATATTAAGCCTGTTCTATTGAAAGGTCAAACGGTTGGATGATGTCTTAAATTCTTCTGTGTTTTCCAGAGAGAGATGTGTATTTACATTATGTTGTAATTGGTGGCAGAGAGTCTAGGTTATGTCTGATTTAAAAGAAATGCAGTTCACTAGACATGTGATGTACTATTTGTCAGCAAAATAAAGCTGTTGATCATGTGCTGTGCAAATATCATATGGTTGATTAAATGACAAAAGCTGCAAGGAATCAGGCTTGTATGGGCAGCCTGAACAAGTTGGCCTGAGGTCAAGGTTCTTTTAAAACCGTGAGATAAGCGTCTTTCCAGAGAAAACAAGCAGCTGTTTAAATGAGTGAAAGATTAACTGGACCATGAAAGACGTTACATATGTGATGTTTGCTGGACAGTGTTGAGGATTAATCACACAGGTTGCTTCTATGGAACAGGAGCGTAAGAAAGCATGTCTCAGAGCAGGAGTGATCTGATCTGTGACTGGAATTTCAGACAGTGGGCTGATTACGTGCTTTGGTCAGATCCTCAGAGAAGTCCACATAAACTGGGTCACTTCAGATTTTAAGTATTAAGTATTGTACAGGTAAACTTCTGATGTATTACAATTTTTGAAGTATTTTTGTAGTGTACCTTGCTGTGATAAAGAACAATGAGGTATATCCTGTTGTTAGAACTGCTATGGGTTATTGATACCCAGAGTAAACCTGATGGATCAGGTGAAGTCGAAGTGAAATCTTAAAGCCTGTGCCCCAACTTGTGCTGTGTCCCTCAGACATCACCCTAGTCCTTCCAATGTGCCAGTCTGCAACACTTTGTCTTTGAGCACTGAGGTTTGGCACTGTCCCACACAGAAATCAATTAGTTGAATGATTAGTGAATCAGCTTTTTGATGGGATAAGTACCAAAAACCCCATTGTGATGCCTAAAATTTACTTAGTGGATGGGTAAAGTTAAAGAACTTTAAACTTAGCCGTTTTACATTTCTAAACTTGGGAAACAGAATGGTAATTTCAGCCAATGGCTGGCCACCATTTATTGCCTGTCCCTATTGCCCAAGAAGGTGGTGATGAGCTGCCTTCTTGAACCACTGCAAACCCCCTGCTGAGGGTTGACCTACGATGCCATTAGAGAGGGTATTCCAGGATTTTGGCACAGTGACACTGAAGAAATGGTGACATATTTCGGAGTCAGGATGGTGAGTGGCTTGGAAGGGATCTGCTGCCCATGTCCTTCTAGATCGAAGTGGTCGTGGGTTTGGAAGGTACTGCTTGAGGAGCTTTGGCAAATTTGTGCAGTGCATCTTGTAGATAGTACACAGTGCTGCTACTGAGCATCAGTGGAGGGAGCAGATGCTTGTTAATGTAGTACAAATCAAGTAGGCTGCTTTGTCCTGGATGGTGTCAAGTTTCTTGAGTGTTGTTGGAGCTGCACTTATCCAGGCAAGTGGGGAGTATTCCATCACACTCCTGACTTGTGCCTTGTAGATGGTGCACAGGCTTTGGGGATTTTATGCATTGCAGTATTGCTAGCCTCTGACCTGCTCTTGTAGCCGCTGTGTTTATGTGGTGACTCCAGTTGAATTTCTGATCAATGGTAACCCCCAGGTTGTTGGCAGTGAGGGATTCAGTGATGATAATACCATTGAATGTCAAGGGCAATGGTTAGATTGTTTCTTATTATTGATGGCCATAGCCTAGCATTTGTGTGGCATGAATTTATTTGCCACTTGTCAGCCCAAGCCTGGATATTGTCCAGATCTTGTTGCATTGGAATGTGGAATGCTCTAGTATCTGAAAGGTCATGATTGGTGATGAACATTGTGCAATCATCATCGAATAACCCCATTTCTAGGGTGGCACAGTAGGTCATCGGTTAGCACTGCTGCCTCACAGCGCCAGTGGCCCAGGTTTGATTCTAGCCTTGGGCGACTGTCTGTGTGGAGTTTGCACATTCTCCCCGTGTCTATGTTAGTTTACTCCAGGCACTCCGGTTTCCTCCCACAGTCCAAAGATGTGCAGGTTAGTTGGATTGGCCATGCTAAATTGCGCATAGTGTCCATGAATATGCAGGCTAGGTCGATAAACCATGGGAAAATGCAGGGGTACAGGGATAGGGTAGGGTGGTGAGGACTCAATGTGCCATAATGGCCTGCTTCCACACTATAGGGATTCTATGATCGTCTGATGGAGGGAAGGTCATCGATGAAGCAGCTGAAGATGGTTGGGCCTGAGACACAACC